GCCGGGCGCGGCGCGGCTCTGACCTGCTGGTGGCGACTCGAAGCGATGCTGGGATGGGGCCGCACCCAAGCCGCGCGGCTATTTGAGGGCTGATGTCAGCGCCCGGGGGGGGCGGTGCCGGGAAGGGACTTAAAGGGGCCGGAGCCTCGGCCCAGCCTCGAGGGGCGCGGCGCCGGGGGATTTGGGGGCAGGGTGCGCTTTGCTCCGGGCCGTGGGGCACCTACCGGGGAGCAGGGGCTGAGTTCAGGGAGGCGGCTCCAGCACAAATCTCCGGGGTCTGCTGGGACAACCCTCCCCCGAAAGCCCCTTCAGCCTCCCCGCCATGGAGGCCAGGCTGTAGATATCGGCCAGTGACTAACCCCCCCCTCCCCGCTCATTGTCGCGTTTCACAGCCCTTCCCGGGTTCCAGCTCAACTCCCCGAACACGGTCCCTGCTTGGCTTTAAACCTCCCCCTCCCTCCACCGTTTCCAGGCACCGAAAAGCCAAACCCAGAGACAATTCTGCCCACACTCAAGCTCCATCCTGCCCTCCCCCACTGATCTTCCTTCCACCCATTGTACAGTGGAGATCCTGTGAGCCCCTTAGCCAGCGGTTTTCACACTTTTTTCTCTTCTCCCAGTTGAAGACAATTGCTGATGCTGCCACCCAACATAATTTGACTAGAGTGTGGGCCCCGGGGTGAGGCTTTGGGGTGTAGGAGGGGCCTCTAGCCTTGGGTTAGCCATGCAGCAGGGGTGCTAAGACAGCTTCCTGCCTCTCCTGGCACTGCAGACCATGCTGAACCCCAGGATTAGCCAGCGGCAGATTCCCAGCCATTGGCAGTGCGGAGCTAGTTCTCCAGGCAGGGGCAATGGGTGGAGTCCTGTGCGCTCTCCCCAACCCCCCTAGGAGCCGGGCCTGCTGCTGGCCGTTTCTGGGTCACAGCGCAGTCTGCAATGGCAGGACATGCAGGGAGCTGCCTTTCTTCTCCTGCTGCAGCAATGAGACCCAGTGCTTGGCATTCCACCACCCAGTACTGGGTCGCCACTGCTAGTTTGAAAACCACTGGTTTAGTGTAACCCCCTGCACAAGGCGAAAAACTGGCAGAGAAACATCCATCCTGAATGAACATTTGTCAGCGATGGCTCTTGAGTGAATTGTTCCAGTGGCTAATCCCTCTCACTGTTACCAGTGTGCCCCTTATGTCCCACCTGAATGTGTCTAATTGCAGCTTCTAGCCACTGGTTCACGTTAGCCCTTTCTCTGCTAGAGCCTGTTATTACATTTCTGCTCCCCAGGTAGCTACTTACCGGCTGTGATCAAGTCACCCGTCCGCTGTTCTTTGTTAAGCTAGATGGAGTCTCACCCCAGAAGGCAGGTTTTCCAGTCCTTTAATCATTCCTGTGGCTCTGCTCTGACTCTCTCCAATGTATCAACATCCTTCTTGACTTGTGGGCACCAGAATGGGATACAGGAACTGGCAGGTGGTCACACCAGTGCCAAATTGAGGGGCAGTAACCTCTTTACTCCAAACCAAGTTTTCCCTGTTTATGCTTCCCAGGATCACATTAGCTCTTCGGGCCACAATATTGCACTGGGAGCCCATCTTCAGATGATTATCCACATGGGTGGTGGGTGAAGGTAGGGGATGGGGGAGGCAAGCCCCCAGTCCTGCCCATTCTGTTCAGGCCCCACCCACATGGGAGCAAAGCCCTCTCCCCAGCACCATAGGGAGGTGGTGCGGCATGCAACCCCAGCCTCCTTGGCCCCAGAGCATGGAGAGGGTGGGCGCTCACGATCAACAACACTCTGCCCCCAGTACGCCTACAGTAGACATTCTGGGGGCAGAGTATGGGTGGGGCCAGGCTGGCGGTTTGGGAAGTCAGTGTCTTCTCCCGCCTCATACCCACTGCCCCTGATTATCCACCAGAACCATCAAATCCTTCCCAGAGTTCCTGCTTCCCAGGAGGGGCCTCCATCGTGTAAGTTCAGCCCGCACTCATTGTTCCTAGCTTTGCACATTTAGCCATATTAAAACATAGAGGCTGTGTCTAGACTGGCATGATTTTCCGCAAATGCTTTTAATGGAAAAGTTTTATTTAGATGCGGTTTTGTGCAAGAGAGCCCTGATCGCCATTTTCGTGATCGGGGCTTTTTTGCACAAAACAATACCGCGTTGTCTACACTGGCCCTCTTGCACAAAAGCATTTGTGCAAGAGGGCTTTTGCCCGAACAGGAGCAGCATAATATTTCCGCAAGAACACTGACAATCTTACATGAGATCGTCAGTGTTCTTGCAGAAATTCAAGCGGCCAGTGTAGACAGCTGGCAAGTTTTTCTGCAAAGGCAGCTGCTTTTGTGGAAAAACTTGCCAGTCTAGACGCAGCCAGAGTGTTTGGCTTGCTCCCAAATTACCGAGAAAGCCTGTCAAGGTGTCCCTGAGCTGTCCTCGTCATCATTTACTGCTCCCCTATATTGGTGTCATCTGCAACCTTTATCAGTAATGATTTTGTTTTCTTCCAGCACAGTGATAAAAATGTTATGCAGCGTAGGGCCAAGAACTGACCCCCATGGAACCCCTCTGGAAACAGCCCCTCCTGAGGAGGATAAGACACTCTGGGTATGTCTACACTACCCTCCTAATTCGAACTAGGAGGGTAATGTAGGCATACCGCACTTGCAAATGAAGCCCGGGATTTGAATTTCCCGGGCTTCATTTGCATAAGCCGGGCGCCGCCATTTTTAAATCCCGGCTAGTTCGAACCCCGTGCCGCGCGGCTATACGCGGCACGGAGTAGCTAGTTCGGATTAGGCTTCCTAATCCGAACTAGCTGTTCTTGCACTTGCAGTATGCCTACATTACCCTCCTAGTTCGAATTAGGAGGGTAATGTAGACATACCCTTACTTTCCTTCTCGTAACTGTTGTTCTTCCAGATGTGTTTGTTCATACCCATTCCAATCCACACACCATCTGCGTGGATGGAAAATTCAGAAACTTTTTCACCTCGCAGCCACCATCAGGTTGGTTGTGGAGCCCCTTAGAGTGGGACCTTCAATATATGACCCTGCGGACTGCCACCTCCCCCTCGGAAGGAGGGTGGGTGCTGGAATGGAAGTGAACATCCCATTTCAAAGAACAGTTGCAAGAAGGTGAGTAACCATCTTTTCTTCTTTGAGTGCTTGTTCATGTTGACTCCAGTCAGGTGACTCTAAGCTCTTCCCCTAGAGGCGGGGTCAGAATTAAGGAATCACTGATAGGAAGACTGCTCAGCCTATAGCTGCATCACTTCTGTCTTGCTGGTACGTGGGCGAGGAAAGCATCTGAAGAAATGTACGTCCTTGTTGAGTGGGCTGTGAGTGTCGGGGGATGGATGTTGGCTAGCTCGTAACAGAGACGGATGCAGTCTGTGATCCAAGATGAGATCGGGAGACCCTTCATTCAATCAGCTGTTAGGGATGTAAAAGTGTAACTGTTTACATGGTTAACTGATAACCCTGAGCTCATTGGTTAACGTGCACAGTTGCACACAGTCCCCCCGTGCTGGTTCCAAATGGGCCTGAATTAGGAAGTATTGGGAACAAACCCCCTTGCTCCTTAACTTCTGAGGAACCTCCTCTACTGCCCCCGTGGCGAGGAGCGACTGCACCTCTGGAAGGAGTTGCTCGTAAGAAGGGTGCCTGAAGAGGGACAGGGAAGGAGGGTGGGATACACATGCCGATTTTGCTCCTTCCCTCCCTCCCACTCGAGCTCTGAGTTACTACAGAGAATTCCGTCCCATGTGTTTGGCTGGTGGGTTTTACTCCTGGTCTGACTGTCCCTATATTTGGGGGTGGGAAAGAATTTTAAATGGGTCAGATTTGCAGAGCCTTGGAGGTTGGGCGGGCAAAGCTTCTCTTCCTCTGCAGCATGGGGCATGGGTCACTTGCTGGTTTCGACTAGTGTGGATTCTCCATAACTTGACACCTTTAAATCATGGTTTGAGGACTTCAGGATCTCAGAGACGGGGTTTCTGACAGGAGTGGGTGGATGATGGTCTGTGGCCTGCAACATGCAGGAAATTAGACCAGATGAACATAATGGTCCCTTCTGCCCTTAAAGTCTGAGTCAATGAGACCTGCCTTTTGACCTGCAGTTGGACTCCTGAGCCCATCACTGCCCCATGTCTCTGACTGCTAGTTTCTGACAGCCACTGCTCTGACCACTAGGCATAACTGCCCGAATTATGAGTCTAAGGGTATGTCTACACTGCCACCCTAGTTCGAACTAGGGTGGCTAATGTAGGCACTCAAACTTACAAATGAAGCCTGGGATTTAAATATCTGGGGCTTTATTTGCATGTTCCCGGTTGCCGCCATTTTTAAATGCCCCGTAATTCGAACTACCTGCCCGCGGCTACACGCGGCATGGACTAGGTAGTTCGAATTAAAGCTCCTCATTCGAACTACCGTTACTCCTTCGCATTCGAACTTGCAAATGAAGCCCGGGGTTTAAATATCCGGGGCTTTATTTGCATGTTCCCAGGCGCCGCCATTTTTAAATGCCCCGTAGTTTGAACTCCCTGCCCGCGGCATGGGCTAGGAAGCTCGAATGAGGAGTAACAGTAGTTCGAATTAGGAGCTTTAATTCGAAGTACCTAGCCCGTACCGCGTGTAGCCGCGGGCAGGGAGTTCGAACTATAGGGCATTTAAAAATGGCGGCGCCTGGGAATATGCAAATAAAGCCCTGGATATTTAAACCCCGGGCTTCATTTGCAAGTTCGAATGCCTACATTAGCCACCCTAGTTCGAACTAGGGTGGCAGTGTAGACATACCCTAGGAGGGCTTTGAGTGGGGAGGTGGTGTTATGCCAACAGAAAAACTCCTTCTGTGCATATTGGCTGCATCTAAGCTAGGTGACTGTGCTGGCACAGCTATGTCAACATAGGCTCTGGAGTGTAGATGCATCCTCAGCTTTCATGTAGAAAATGTTTCAGGTCCTCAGGTTTGCAAAGAAACGGCTGAAAACATGACTGGAGTGTGTCCTCAAAGCTCAGAAAGCAAAGACACATAAAAAGACCCCAAATGAATTATTTATTTCTATTTAATCTCATTATTTTAAGCCAGTCTCATGATGTTTTTTCTTTGGCTTCTGATGTTAGTCTGCCTGAGGTTGGCCGTGCTCCCAGGAAGAAGAATTTTGCATTGACGTAGCATCTCTTGGAGGCAACGTTTCATTTTGGCTATTCCAGGAAATTAAGGAGGACGTAGGAGGTAGCAGGAGACTAGAGTTACTAGAAGATTGTTGTGTACATTTTGGCTGATACAAGTGGCATGTAGACACAATATTTTTGTTCCTAGGTAAGTAACAGATTTCTTTGTACAAAGAAGTATCTGGCCACTTAATGCCAGGGATGCTGATGTTTGACAGGCATACCATGCATCTTGGTTTTCCTGGACATGATCTCCCTTATGATCCTACTCTCTCCAGATAGATATTAGAAATATGAAAAACTTCCCTGAGAATCTACCATCACTTCTGTGGAAGTTGTGGGAAAGCGTCTGTCAAGAACTACTGGTTGTGTTGGACCTTGGGGTTGTAGACGAATCCCCTAGTGCAGCATTTCCCAGGCTGGGGGGGGGGGGCCCCTCAAAAGGGCGAGGGCAGAAGGGTCACTCGTAGGGTCACCATACTTTTGGGTTTTCTGGCTATGGCCTCTTCTTTAGTCCTCTGATCTCTGTCCAAGTGGGCTTTAGAAATATGAAAACACGCCCATGGTTTTTCTTTGCCTTCAGAGCTGGGTGGCTGGAGTGGCAGCAGCTCTCAGTTACTCAGCCTGAAAAACATTGCCACTGCCACAGGGTGGCAATGCCACAGGGTGGCAATATCATAGCTTGCTACGCTTCTTTCTGCGCTGCTGCTGGTGGTAATATTGACTTCAAAGCTGGGCTCCTATTGACCAGCAGCTGCACAGAAGGAAGGATGGCAATACCATGCCACACCACCTTTCCTTCTGTGCTGCTGCTGGCAGCAGGGCTGCCATTCAAGCTGGGCACCTCACCAGAAGCTATTGCTTTGCGGCCATCCAGCTCAGAAGGCAGCCCCAGCCAGCAGCAGCAGTGCCAAAGGAAAGGTGGCAATAACATACCATGTCAGACTTCCTTTGCACTGCTGCTGGTGGCAGCATTGACTTCTGAGCTGGGTGTCTCTGCCAGCAGCCGCTGCTCTCTAGGGGTACGTCTAAACTACATGCCTCCGTTGACGGAGGCATGTAGATTAGACAGATGGGCAGAGGGAAATGAAGCTGTGATTTAAATAATCGCAGCTTCATTTAAATTTAAATGGCTGCCCCGCTCTGCCGATCAGCTGTTTGTCGGCAGAGCGCATTGACTTCTGAGCTGGGTGTCTCTGCCAGCAGCCGCTGCTCTCTAGGGGTACGTCTAAACTACATGCCTCCGTTGACGGAGGCATGTAGATTAGACAGATGGGCAGAGGGAAATGAAGCTGTGATTTAAATAATCGCAGCTTCATTTAAATTTAAATGGCTGCCCCGCTCTGCCGATCAGCTGTTTGTCGGCAGAGCGG